AAATTGGCCCCTGGTTAGAGTTGTCCAGAACGCCTATAATCTCTCTCTTCCATATCTTGCCATTCTCAAATTTTAGAAAGTTTATTGTGTGATTAATTTATTTAATTTAAATCTATCTTTATTGGTTTCAGAGAGAGGAAGGGAGAGAGAGAAACATCAATGATGAGAGAGTCATTGATCGGCTGCCTCCCGCACGCCCCCGACTGGGGATCGAGCCCGCACCCCGGGCCTGGGCCCCGACCGGGAATGAACCCCGATCGCCTGGATCCTAGGCCGACGCTCAGCCGCTGAGCCGAGGCGCCCCAGCCTATGTGTTTATTTTAGATGAAAATATAATCCACAAAAGCTTTCACTCAGATTAGAAGAGATGGAAACTCCTTTGTCGAGAATCTGAAAATGGGGTGTGAAGGTTTAGACTCTGTGTTTGCGGATCTTCTTGGAGGAAAGTGTTCTTGTTGCATTTCAGCCATTTTTTTCAGCCGGTGGAATTAATCAGTAGGAGACTGTCTGTGGCCATTCCCTACGTTTCTTACGTAATCTGAGGGGCTTTATTCTAGTTCTGTTATAGCTGATAGTAAACAAATGCCTTTAGGTTTGAAGATTGTCACGTCCAGATGGCGAATGTTAAACACAACTGTCCGAGAAGCAGACTGTTGGTTTTAACGCCCAGCAGCGCTGTCCTTGTGTGACTTTGGAACTCTCCGTATTTCAGTTTCTTTCCGTACGAAGTGGGCACCGTGCTGACAGTGTGGTCGTGTGTACGTCAGGGAGGCGTGAGCATTAGACGGCTGTTCACATGTAAAAGCAGCCGTGACGCATGAGAACTGCCCAGGAACCAAGTCCGGTCGCCCTTACGGTTGGTCTCCTGCAGCCGGCAGTTGCTGTTTGCTGACGGTTCCTGAGCAGTTTCTTCTACATGCGATTTTGATAAAAATCACACACACATTTCCATAGTCAAATAAATTTGTGGAAAACAGAATAAAGCGAAATGAAGTTCTTAGCCTCTCTATGCTGACGTGCAGCGGAAATTTTCAAAGGCGCACAGGGCGTGTCCCCTGCGTGTGGCCCACTCCGCCTTCGAGGGAGCAGGGACTGGATCCCCGAGCAGCGCCCAGTGGGGCTGGGGGGGGGGCCCGGTTCTTCCCTGGGCGGGACTTTGCTGAGCTCTGCTGGTCACCCTCAGTCACTGTGACCACCCNCGACCACCTACCCGCCCCCCACATGGTCCACATGCCCCCCGGGGGGAGATGCCACCTGGTTGGGGTGCGGTCGTTAGAGGAACACACACAGATCTTCTCTCTCAGGCCCCGGAAACCCTCGGGAATGAAGCCAGTGGGATGCCTGGGGGGACGGAAACTCCTTGAAAGGTTTGAGAAGTGGTTGCATGAATTTAAACTTATGTAAAACTTCTCCGAGCTGCACACGTGAGTCTTGTGTATTTTCACACACGTGTGTTATTCCTCAGGTAACAAAAAATCCCCTACTGAGCGTGACCGGTACACAAGGCGTCTTGTGAGAAATGGGCCCGAGCACGACGCTCATGGGAGATCATTTCTCTATTTCTGCAGTAAGTGGTCTTGGTTTTGGGTGGTTCCCTTTCTTTCCCTCCATTGGGGGTAATGTGAATTAAGCATCATCACAGCACCTATTGAGTAAGGATTTGGAGGTATAAGAACCAGGGGAAACCAAACCTGTTGGTTATAGACACACAGTTATGCTCCCGTTGCAGCCCGACCACAGCCTTTCGCTATTTCCCTAAATCGGTGGTGGTGGTAATGATGTGAGCTTGTCCGACGTGGTTACCCATCGAAGCCGACGTTTCCCGTCAAGTTCGTTCGCTTGCAGGGGGTCTGCCTTTCCTTGCCCCTCGGCGGGAGGGTGGACTATCGCTCGGAGCCGTTCCTGAGTCGCTCGGGTGACAGGGAACAGTGTGAATGGATGGGCCTGACGTACAATATTCCCTTTGTTTTCAGAGCAGAAAGCCATTAACAGTTATCTCAGGATCCCCGTGTTTATGACACTTGTGAATTGATTTATGGTCTTCGCCAGGCGGGAGTCGAACAAAAGCCTCTGAGTTCTCTTTGTGTTTGGCCTTCCCAGTCTCGTGGCGTCGGAATCCGAGGCTCAGCTCACGCCTCTGGTTTATGGAAACGCAGGGGCTTCCTCCCGGAAGATCTAATTCCGGAGCTGGACCGGGGAGAGGTTTACTCTGGCCTGACAGCCACGCAGAGGAGTTTCGTGAAGGGACCGGCCAGCGGGCGTGAGGGTGACGCTCGCCCCGTCATGCGCAGGGAGCAGGCCCAGCGCCCCCGTCGTCACTCGCTCCCGCAGCTCGGCGATTCCTAAGCCCTCAAGTGCGGAAAGAAAATAAAATTTAAACAGTTCTAAGTTGGAGCTCCATCCCTGACTTCCATAAACCCATTAGGTTATTTTTAAAACTGCACTTTGGATGCTGTGGTCCTAACATATCCCTTCCCGCGACTGTAATAAAAGTCGCTGGTCCGTTTCCAGCTTCCCGAGTGGAAAAGTTTAAAATTGAGATGCCCAGAGTTCGTTCCGATGTTAGGGTTCAGTGTGGCCAGAACAACCAAGGCCGTTTCTCGGGGAGGAGGCCGGTCGGCCCTCCCTTCCCCTTTCCGCTGTGTGCCCGGCGCCGCCTTCAGAAATGGCAGGTGCAGGGATCAGGCAAGAAAACCCTCAAAACTCACAGACCCAGGCAGCG